GATGCTCTCAACTCTGTCTGTGTTAATGGGATCAATGTAAATCAAACAAACAAACAAAACCCACCTTTTTCTTACTGGTCTCTCAATGCTCACAGAGTCACTTTGTCCCAGAAGCAAAAAGAGCCCCCTGCGTGCTGGGTGGGAGTAACAAGAAGGCAGAAGTCCTGCATCTGTGACCTGGGGACGCAGAGCCATCTCTGCCTCTCACACATCCCCTCCTCTTAGCCCAGAACTTCCTGATAATTCTCTGATTTCTTCAACTCCAGGAAAGCTTCAATTCTCTTTTTCCTGAGGCTGCATCCTCCAGAAAGGTGCTCTGGTGGTGCAATGCCTAAGGCATTTGACTGTTAACCAGAAAGTTGGCAGTTCAAACTCACCTGCCACTCTTTGTAAAGAAGAGAGGGGAAACCCAATGGGAGTCGCTATAAGTAGGAATCAACTTGATGGCAGTGGGTTTTGGTTTGGCACCCCCAGATTTCCTGAATGCCAGGAAAAGGACCCCACACTCCCATTAAGGACTTGGCCCTTAGACCCATTAAGTGCTCATCTTCCTGTTGAATCCCATGACTTTTCATTTTTTTCCATGTCTGGTTGTTTGGATGTGATGAGGTCAGAATACATCACTTTGTTGGAGCCTAAGACCTATGATTCTAATCTTCATTGTCAAAGAGACCCCAATATTACAGGATTTTCTAGTTTTTCTTCACTGTCAGTCATGGAGTACTTCAAATCAAGTTGACTGGGCTACCATGTATGTGGGGTTACAGGATGTGGGCTCCCCATGTTCCTGGAGGGGAATAAGAATCTCTGACAAGGGGGAGGGTTCTGTACACAATAAAGAGTCTATTTCTGTCAATCTTGGTAGTAGGTTGTGTTATAATACTAGATTAAAAAGTGTCAACTCTATTACAGTCATAGAAAACCATGAATTTCCAGGCAAAGAATGAAGGGAAAATGAAAAACAAGAGAAGTGAGCAGAAGCAGGGGACACTTTGTGCTTGCTTTTTAATCTCTTCTGTAGACAGACATCAAAAACAAGGGCCTGAACAATAGGAATTGGAAGATCTAAGAAGAGACCCTCACAACAGTAACAACAATGATACCGTGGGTGAACCTGTAAGAATAACCCATGTAGATTTAGTACCAGATTTCTTTCTAGAGCATTCTGCAAAATTTCAGGCTTTGATCTGGATTTACTATGGTCTTAGACTGGGCATGACCTCAGGTACCTGGTAGAAGCTAACTGAAATATCAGATAATTCTGAGAAATGTGGTGACATAAGGTCTGCTCATACAACTACATTCAGCAACTTGGAGGTCATTAGTGGCCTGAATAAAATTAATGTGTCAGTTCCAAACCCTATGGAGGGAGCCTACTCATTCTACTGCTCTAGGTAGTGACATTGGAAAGATCCACCTGTAAACATCAGGAAACCCTTCCAGGATTGCTGGGAATTGTCTGAGAGGCTGGGGGACCCAGGATATGAGACCCTCATGGGGAGCTGTTGGACCAGTAGGATTCTGGACAAGGCCAGATAGCCCAAAACTCTACTGATTCTCACACACTTGGGCAAAGCTGGTCTTCACTGGTGTACATTCTTGCACCTGGGGTTCCCAGCAACCACATGAGCACTCAGCCCTGACTCACACCCCTGTTTCATACTGAATATTCCATCCCTCATGGAGTCATCCCCCAGGCCTGATGCCCAGGCAGGTTATAAGGGCAATCATATAACAGGAACAATTTTGCATAAATAAACTTGACCAGCAAGATGATCTGGGCATAGCATAAGAGACACGTGGGAAGGAATTGATCTCAATTCCAACAATGAGGATTCAGCAAGCAAAGTTCTGAAGCATCTACACCATGACCTCAACCCTCTCCTCCTCAACTTGTGCACATGTTACACTGGGATTTTCCAATTATAGGACAAGTGAAAGGACATGGGGGCACATCTGCACTGACTTCTTCTAGGCCAGAATGATTGGTCCTCTCATTCTTCATATCATCTTAGGCTGGGTTCTCTAGAGAAGGAAAGTCAATGGAGCTCATATCTGTATCCATGTCTTTATCCAAATTTATATCTCTCTATATGGAGAAAGAGACAGAGAAAGACATTTATCCCAAAGAAATGGCTCGTGACATTGTAGAGGCTGCCAAATCTCAAGTCTGTGGCATTGGAGCCTTCTTCAGGATCCAGCAGCTTCAGGGGCTGGTGGACCCAAGATCAGTAGACAATATGGCAAACTACTGGCTGCAGAGGCTGATGGCTCTGAGATTGGCAGGTACGACAGCAGATTGTTGACCCACAGGCTGAGGAGGCTCACAGCCCCAAGATCAGGAGGCAACACAG